AACTGAGTGTTGCAAGGTCACCCACTCTCTGGCTGTTGCTCAGCACTGGGTCTCTGTAGTGTTCTCATCTACTGTGGCTTCTCTGATGATGACCGAGAAAGACACTGATTGACCTAGGTAGGTGTAGCAGAATTTGTGAGTCTTTTCATGGCTTGAGCAGAATATTAGTACTATTTCCCCTGGATCCCCGGCCTATCTGGTCTCAGATACTTGATCACTCTGTTTTTATTTGAGAAGGGGTCAAATATAGATAAGGCTCTATATAGCCTTAGCTGTTCTAGAACTCACTCTGTAGACCAGGCTGGCCTTGAACTCACAGAGATCCACCAGCCTCTGCCTCCCAAGGGCTGGGACTAAAGTCATGGGCCACCACACTTAGCAGCAGCACTCAAATTTTAGGCCTGCTAGGACTGTATTGTTATTTTTTGAGCCAGCTCTGGCTGGCCTCGAACTCACAGAGATACCTACCTTTGCCTCTTGAGTACTAGGATTAAAGGCACGCACCTCCACCCCTAGTTGGATTGCATTCTTTTTTTGAGACAAAGTCTCCAGCCCAAGCTGTTCTCAAACTCCCCATGTAGCTAAGTCCGGCCTTGAACTCCTGGTCCTCCGGCCTCTACTTCCCAAGTGCTGGGATGACGAGCATGTTCCACCCTGCCCTGGTTCAGTTACATGACCTTTTCATAGTAACAGAACAAAAGAAACTCATAAATAAATGTATTTACCAAATGCACCAGTGAGGGCGGCAGGTGTATGTATGGGTTGCAGCAAAGAGGACAGAATTCTGGAGGTTTCAGATGACGTTTTTAGCTTTAAGATTCATGGGAACTACGGGTCCGCTAGATGAATACAATCCAAAGATTTCACTTGAGAGTCTAAAGCAGCATTTCTCAACCTGTGGGTCTCCACCCCTCTGCGGTCCAATGACTCTTTCACAGAGGTCGCATATCAGATATCCTGCATATCAGATATTTACATTACAATTCATAACAGTGGCAAAATTACAGCTGTGAAGTAGCAGCGAAATAATTTTATGGTTGGGGGTGACCACAACAGGAGGACCGAGTAAAGGGTCGCAGTGTTAGGAAGGTTGAGAACCATTGGTCTGAAGGACGTTCAGTCAGATGCAGGAATGGTAGTAAGTGACCACTAAAGAGATGAAGGGTAGCCCGAGACAATTTAGGCTCTGGGTCTGTTGCGTTCTGACCTATGCAACCCTCGAATGCCAATCAGTTTGCAGTCTCCACACAGGTGTAGCTTTTACAGCGAATTTCAGTTGGCAGGACGTTCTTACAACTGGAAACTTTTTCTTTTTATCTGGTGTTTAGCTTTCCAGTCTCAAGACCAGTCTACCCAGTCAGCGGTGGCTCAGGTCAGTCTTGTGACAGGTCTGGTGGCTCAGGTGTTTGTCATGTGGCAGGTCTGGCATTCCACCTCCAGTTCTGTCTTTACCTTTGGTCTGCTTACATCTGGTGCCCTTGGCCTCCCCTTCCTTCCAAACCGGTACCTTCAATCTGTCAGATGAGGACCAGCTGCTCCGCTGCAGTGAGACGCCCAGTCTCCAATCGGGCTACAATGTCCATTTTCCAGCATCCTCTTCACTCATTGCCCTAACTCCTATTTTATGGAAATCATATTTGTCAGTATTGATCCCACTGGGCGGAATAAGACCACTACCACAATTTTAAGCCAAATCTGAAGCAAGCTTTAATTAAATGCTGGCCAGGATAATGGACTCTGGCCAGGTCCACCTCAGGGTTCCCAGGAAACGACCACAAGTCACATTTTGCCGAGGCTTATAAAGGTACACCCATAAAGCTATGTATTTCTGATTAAGCTCAATCAGGGACATATCTCTTGTCCACATACCTCCCACGTGCATGTGATCAAGCACGTTGGTGCAGATGGATCAAACAACAGGACAAACAGAAACTTATTCTTAACTGTCTTCACTGCAAACAGAACCTTTGACCTGCAAGGTCTATCTTTCCTCTTTTGGTCTCCCATTAACTTACAAGGTGTATCATTCATGTTCCTGTTTTGGTCTCTTATCAGGTCCCAAAGGCACTCAGGACAAATGGCTAACTGTGGTGCCTATCTGATCTACCTGTGGTGCTTGGCTCTCAGTATCGCAAGTACCTGTAATGGAGTCCTGGCTCCTCTCAGCACTTCTCATCTCTGCCCTCTACCCTGTGAAGGAACCTGCCTGACTCCACTGGGATTAAAGGCAGGAGCCACCAGGCAGCCTTTAATCCCAGCACTGGGAAGGCAGAGCCAGGCGGATCTCTGTAAGTTCGAGGCCAGCCTGGTCCACAGAGCAAGATCCAGGACAGGCACCAAAACTACAAGGTGAAACCCTGTCTGGGGGGGGGGGAAGATAAATAAATAAAGGCAGGAGCCATTATTCTGTATTTTTAAAAATAAGTTTCTACTATCTGTGAGAGTTGAATAGCAATGAGAGCTCTGTAAGTTTGAGGCCAGACTGGTCTACAGAGTGAGTTTCAGGATAGTCAGGGCTACACAGAGAAATACTGTCTAAAAAAAAGAAAGAAAGGAAGGAAGGAAGGAAGGAAGGAAGAAAAAGAAAAGGAGAGAGGGAAGGAAGAATGAAAGAAAGAAAGAAAGAAAACCTTAGTCTTGCTGGATGGTGGTGGCGCACGCCTTTAATCCCAGCACTCGTGAGGCAGAGCCAGGTGGATCTCTGTGAGTTTGAGGCCAGCCTGGTCTACAGAGCGAGTTCCAGGACAGGCTCCAAAGCTACACAGAGAAACCCTGTCTGGAAAAACAAAAAACAAAAAACAAAAGAAAACCTCAGTCTTAGGAAGATATACTAATACATGCATGGAATCCCTGTGTTATGAATTATTGTGGGGGGGGAGGGTACAGGGGCAGGGGAGAACACCCCCAAGGGTATCCCGGGCATGGAGGAAACATGCTGGGCAGGTGCGGTGAAGGGCTGGGCATATGCATGCCAAGTGGGCATGGCAGCGGTGGTGGCCAGTAATTCATAACCCAGACGTTGCTTCCACTTGGAGAGTTTATTATAATAGAGAGATGAAGAGAAAGATAGGAAAGAGTGAGACAGAGAGAAAGGAGAGAAGGGAGAGACAGAGATTGAGGGTGCGCACCTTGGGGGAGGGAAAGCGGAAGAGAGAGAGGAAGGGGAGGAGTTTTTTTCTTAGAATGAGGCTTTTACATCAGGAGTGGGGCAGAGCCAAGGGGTGGGATTTCAAGGTGCAGATCAGAATATTAACATCTTGCACTTAGAAGACTGATGCAGGAAGAGCACCTTGAGTTCAAGGCCATCCTGGGCTGCATGGTGAGACATTGTCTCAATAAACAAAAACAAGTCTCAGTCAGCCACTGCTTTCAGGTAAGCTACTATAAACTTTATTGGTTTCAAACCATTATCATTCAACCAGGCATGGTGGCTCATACCTGTAACCCTAGTTAGTGTTCAAGACACGAAGGCAGGATCATTGTCCCAAGTTGGAGGCCACATCACAAGTTCCAGGCCGGTCTGGGATACAGAGTGAGCTCATGTCTCAGACAAACGGACACACCAGCTGGGTGGGTGTGGTAATGCATAGCTGTTACCCCACCACTGGAGGGGTGAAGGCAGGAGGCTGAGGAGTTCAAGGTCATCCTTGGGCACATAGTAAGTTTGAGGCCAGCCTGGGATAACTAGACCTTCCCCCTGGCCCCGCAAAGAGAGCAGATGTGTGGGGTTCTGGGACAGCGGAGTTTGGCTGACCTTGACTGGGCTGAAGATCAAGGCGGAGACAATGGAGGCACAAACAGTCTTAGGGCCCAGGAACCCAATCATTTCCACTGGGCTGTAAGCCTCCCGAAGGGTTAAACGAATAAGTTCTCTTCCAGCTTTTGGCTTCTTGCCTGAGGGGGCTGCGGATCAAGTCTCACTAGTAATACGCTGCTGTCCCCTTCCCTCCAGCCAATACTGTCCAGCCCCAGGCCACCACACTGTGCTGGCAGGCCAAAGAGCAGGTAACAAAAGCGTCAGAAGGAGTGGTAGACGTGGGGTTAACAGGTTTATTATGATTTAAAATGTGTGTGTGTGACTGTGTATTATGGAGGTCAGAGTACAGCTGTGTGGACTCAGCTGTCTCCCTCACCTTTACAGACGATTCAGGAGAGGGAGGGTTGGATTCTCCGACACCGGCTTATGCAGTGAGCTCTTTATCAAAGAGCCAAATCACTGGGTTCTTTTTTTTTCTTTTGAGACAGGGTCTCACTATGTAGCTTTGGCTGTCCTAAACTCACTATATAGACCAGGCTAGCCTCGAACTCAGAGAGATCCACCTGCCTCAGCCCCCAGAGTGCTGGGGTTAAAGGAATGGCCACCACATCTGGCAGTCTCGTTGGTTCTTAAGTTTTTGTTTTGTCGTAACGTTTATTCATTTAGGGGAAGGGCTGTTCGTGGGAGTCAAGTCATCAGAGTTGATTCTCTCCTTCTACCTCGTGGGTTCCAGAGATCACACTCAGGTTGTTAGGCTTGGTGACAAGTGACGAGCGCGTTTAACTGCTGAGCCATCTCACTGGTCCCCTTTTAAAATGTATTTTGTCTGTTTGTTTGTGGGTTTTGTTTTGTTTTTGAGACAAGGTCTCAGTGTATAGTTCTGGTTGGCCTTATTGAAATGAATGATAAGCAGAGCTGGTGGCAGCGATGGTTACCGCGTGGAAAGGTCACGGTCACGACAGAACCCAGTATTAGTTTCATGGCTTTATTAGGAGGGGGTGGGGAGAGAAGAGAACCAGGCCTGGGGGTGGGGGGGCATGTGCAGAGAGAGGGAAGATGCGGGGGGG